TTGATAAGTCATATACAATATTCGTGTCAATGTTGTATCAGATATACAATCACTTGGCTACCCTTGTGGTTGTATATCTGATACAACACGGTCACTCATATACTGTATATATTCCTTAAAATAAAGATTTGAAAGGAGTTTTAATAATAATATTGATAATAATAATAATAGTAATTATGATGATGATGATGATGAAGATGACAACAAAAGCAACAATGACAACAATGCTAATGATAATAATTATTATTATATAAAAAATAATAAATTGATAAAATAATGATAATGATAAGGATAATAATATGAGCTATTATAGGCGCAATCTATCCAAAATAAGATCGTGAAATTAATCGTGTGGTTCTGGACCTGTCAATCATTTTTGTAGTTTTTAGATGTCATCAATATTTAAAGATAATAATGAGTTATAATTTTAGACTTGAATATAGAGTTTCATGTGCCGTGATTCGTGTAGCGACCAGTGATTCTGAGAGGATAATCACTGCTCAATCGGTGATTATGAGGTTTCCCAAAGTTTGCCAGAGGGGAAGTAATACTAAAACAATTTTTTATTTTCTCAAACTGACGTATAATATTTATACAGAACAATATTATATGTCTCTTTGTTTCCTCTTCTTGTTTTCTAAAATATCAGGAATTCTGGTGCCATCAAATCTACTATACAAACAAAACACTAGAGYTTTAAGAGAATCTTTTACAAAAGGGAATATTAGACAGGAAATCTTGGGTTTTTTAGTCACAACTTTATCRTCAAATTATACAGTGTACTTATCTCTAGGCTTCATGTAACATCATTTCTCAATCATATTTGAGACTACCAGAAGGCAAACAGTGATGTATTAGTAAAGAAATAGTAAAAAATAATTTTATAATTTTTTTCAATTTTTTTGCTTCTCGTAAAGATTGTTTACTTGAATTTTCATTGGGTCAAAAGGAAATGGAGTGAGGCATGGATGAGAGCCAAACAAAAAAAACACTTTATTTAATAGAGACTGTAGGAGAACAATACCATCATCTTTTCTCCCATAAATCCATCAAATCCATCAAGTTAACCACTGTCTAGAGTATTGAGCACTTTATATTTTTTAGAATGGAAAAGATTATTCATCCTGGATATAAATTAAAGATTATACATGTACTTATTCATTAATTTTACCTTTCAGAGATTATATTTATTCACTTATCCAGTTTTTTTTCTTATTTCTGCACGCTCACACAGGTACGCACTGTTGTGTAAATTTGTTCCACYTGCGCTTCCATAGTTACGTGTTTATTGTCTTATGAGCTTGGGATTTTTACCAATAAATTTTTTTACATAGAAGAAGCAAAAATATTTATAAAACCTACATACATTTCCATATCAGGTTTTATAAATGCCATTACATTCAACAAACAAGTATTAAGTAGATATTATAATATTGTGGTCTTATGCTTGTGTTWATTAGTACTAAAGTTACATTTATAAATATTTATCAAACTCATTAATAATGCATGAAGAAAACACAACAGAAATCACGACTGTGAAGAGTGTTGTAAATCTGATACAAAACTGTGTTCATTTGCATAAACTTTAAGTTGGATTTTCTTGGCCAAATTCACTTTAATTTTGAAAATTTTAGTAAAACACGAAGGAACTAACCTAGACGTTTGATAAGTAATATACAGTATTCATGTCTGTGTTGTATCAGATATACAATCAMTCGGCTACGCCTCRTGGTYGTATATCTGATACAACACGGCCACTTATACTGYATATATTACATAAAGGGGTTTACAATATTATGCTTTTTAGTACAAGCCAGAGTTTTTTTAGATGGCTTTTTAAATTAATTATCTATAAAAAATGTAGAGTGACATGATATGAATCAAGCTTCACTTACAACCATATTGACATATCACATATCACCTTTTAAAAACCATTTTATCTTTTAATCCATGCCACCCAAAATAGCATATTGTGTAGTTCCAGAAATACCCACCCCACAGAGGAATTTGGAATTTCCGAAGAGTAGGGGGTCAGAGAAAGAACAAAAATTACAGAGTTTGTATGGAAGAAAATTGGAATTTCCGGGKTATAGGGGGGTGTCTTAAAAARATTCCTCCATGAGTGGGGTATGGATAATTTTTGGARCCACACATTTTTCATTGGGCAAAATTAAGAGAAAAACGATGGCTGGGGAAAAAATACTCAACTTACAGGATGACTCGTTTAAAATATGGGAAAAATCTTAAATGCAGTTCTTGTTTTTATTTTATTTATTTAGTCAAGGATATGTTGTTAATGATGTTAAACCWGGCTGTGCCTTGATAGATTATCTCTGATATCATATTTTACTACTGCTTCAACGAAATTCATCAAAGCTCATCTTACTTACTARAATTTAGTCAAACTAGCTTCTCTGCTAAAATGACAAAGGGATTGATTACAATCCTTTTATGAGAATATGTGGAGCTCATAGCACTTATGAAATACATTAAGATATATAGAAATATAGATAAGTTATAGTGCTTGGGAACAAGGTTATTCCAGGCGAAAGACCCTTGGAATTAAATTTGGAAAAAATTAATTTCTGACCTCGCTGGGAATCAAACCCACGACCTTCGGAATTGTACTACCGATGCTCTAACCAGCTGAGCTAGAGGTCAGACTGAGAGCAGGCCAGGGTGAAATAGATGTTAAGTATAATCCTTTTACATTGCCACTTAATGCTATTAATGGAACACATACCAGATAATGTTTTATGAGCTGACAATATTAATACAGCTATGTTGATAGTGGATATCGTTTGACTAAAATTAATAATAATATGAACTCAGAAATACTGGTGGAATGAACTGAATATATTTTTGAAAATTACTTTTCATTTTATTGATTATTACCTTTTTATTTAAAAAAAGATAACCTTTCATGCTACTATAAGATAAATAAAGTACCTTCATTATTAAAAGAAAGCTAGTTTTGAATAATTTATAAGACAAAATATGTAGGCAATACACGTAAGACATGAGGCAATTTTTTATATTCGATTTTGTTCATTTATTCATTATTTTGTTTGTTTTGTTTGTTTGTTCATACATTTGTTTATTTTGTTCTTATATATATATTTTTTCATTGCATTTATTGATTTAATTACTTATTCATTCATTTCATTTATTCATTCATCCATCCATCTATCCATTCATCCATCCATCCATCCACCCACCCACCCACCCACCCACCCATCCATCCATCCATCCATTTATCTAACCATCCGTCCATCTGTCCATCCGTCCATTCATTCATTCATTCATTTATTCATTCATTTATTCATTCATTTATTCATTCATTTATTCATTCATCCATTTATTTGTTCATTTATTCACTTTATTCTTTTATTCATGCATATTCATGTAATCTCCAGGTTGAGCGACGTCATCACTCCACCCTTGATGCAAGGGAGTTCCTGTTTAAGTATGCTCTAACTGGCACACCCATTATAATCACTGGACTTRTTGAAAGCATGACTGAAGAACGCTGGACAATACAGTACATAAAAAAAGTAAGTATCTGCAACTATTTATGGTCCTGGGCTGTGTCKTGAGAAAAACACAAAACAAGTAAGACAACAGCAACAACAACTGTGTAAAAAACAGACAGTAAAGGTTTACTTAGCCTTCTTTGCAGGCATCACCTTCAGGCTCCTTGGGCTTTGTGTGGAGAAAAAAAAAACGAAGGGCGAGATCTTCTATGCCAAATATTTCAAAACAGGAATCCCAATGACTCTTTTGGATAATGAATATAGAGTAGCCTGTTGAAGAGGTTACTTTTTACTTGCTTGCAGGTCTAAGACTGTAGCATTTGCAGTTCAATGAAAAAATGAGTAAGAAGATGGAAAAGAGAGGAAAGAGAGAACGAAAATAAAGGAGACGAGAGAGAAAGAGAGAGAAAAGTATTTCTCCATYATTAGTTGTATTGTATGGATTTATATGCATATTTAATCAATGGTATGGTTGTAAATTTAATTTGTTTCTTAATATTGTTGATCTAAGGTACTTGGTCATAAAAATGTTCCCTTGAAAAAAAGAGTAAAGGAGTCAACAGAGTGGGCAAAGCTTGAACATCATGGCACCATGTCTGTAGAAACTTTTATTAACTCCTTACATGACGATAGAAAACCAAGTTGCCTGTTTGATTGGAGTCTGTCGACCTTYGCACCAGAACTGGCCAAGCAAATCACAATCCCTAGATACTTTGCTTCAGATTTTCTGCAGAGAACTGAAAAGAGCTCAATGTACCAAGACAGTTGGCCTAGTTTGTTTATTGCACCAGRAGGAATGATAACTGATTTACATGTTGATTCATTTGGATCCAACTTTTGGATGGCACTTTTTGAAGGAAGAAAAAGGTAGTTTCTGATTGCAATATTATTATTATTTTATTATCCCCTACTTGCTATATAACAAACAAGATTTTGGGTCTTGTATTCAAAACAAGATTTTCAACCAGGGGATTATCACCATCTTTAAACTATGATATTCTACCTTCATATCAACAGATGGACATTTTTCCGCAAAGAAGATCTTCCCTGCCTTTATCCTCACTGTGACCAAGACTTTAACATTGTCTTTGATGTGGATTTTTCAAACCCAGACCTTAAAGACTTTCATCTCCTTAGCACMGTTACTCCTATCCAGTGCATGTTGRAGCCAGGGGAAATTCTCTTCGTCCCACATGGATCACCACACTAYGTTGAAACACTTGAAGACTCGCTGGCTGTATCAGCTAATTTCATTGACCTCTCAAACTATAAGAGTGCTCTTGAGGAATTAAAGGTTATGGGCATTATTGACCCACAAGCCGAAAGTTTGTACAACCAACTGTCTGATGATAACTTTCCCACAAAAATGTGGAGTGAACAGAAGGATATGAAATGGGAGCAGTTTAAAGAATGGCCACGGGATGACTATGAGATGTATGATATCGACTTAGTGGATTGCCGAGAGTAACCCAGTCTTATGATATGCAGAAGCGATTGTCTTCTATTTAATTAAGAGCTCTAATAATCCCCATAGGGTGTGATAAGATTGGACCCTGYTTAAATGGTCAATATTTTCAATATATGAAGAAATATTTTAAAATGACTAAAATGGKAAATATATTAAATATATTAACTAAATATATTATTGCTACCAGTATTTAAAAGGCAAAAAATCAGGGATTTYAAGATGGGTTAAAAGGAACGTCCGTGATTTAAAAAAGAAATATCATTCTTTATGGAAAAATGTGTACTGTGTATGGTATTATTTAACAGAAAATTACATCACATACCTTATATAAATCTGGGAGTGCACATAATAAACCCATGAGAATTACTATAAATTAGTGGTAAATAGTTGAGTACTAGAGTGCAATACCATATCTCTGTGAAAAGTTAACTAATAAAATTGTTCAATTTAGGGCAAAGTTTTGTAGGTCTACAGTTTACTGAACTTACTAGACAACTAATTTGTGCAAATTTGTATGATTTCTTACGAAGTTTTTCATGGATATATGTTATATTGTTTTGTACAATTTAGTACTTATAATTTAGTTTTTAGTGCATTTTAACAGGTTTATTTTGACATTTCACTCTAGGCTAAAATACATTTTATGTGCAGGGTAGGAAAATATTCAATGTTGTGGCATTATATTTACTGCAGCACAACACGCAAAAGTGACCACATTTAACGTTAAACTGACACATTTCGATATGAATCTGGCTGGTTTTACCAAATAAGGCATGCAAACACTTGTTTGGTGGTAAAAAGCCAGTGATTAGAAGTATGCAAATAAATTAAATGTGGTCATACTTTTGCATGTGGTGCTGTAACAGAAAGGGGTTAGTTTAGATAATCGGAGATATTTTGGTCATATATTATTGACTGTAAACACAATTATTTTGAGACAGCAGGAGTACTAGTGGGTTTGCTTTAAGCTCAACATTTCTGTAATCCTGTACATTTACRACAGAGGAGTGTAATTCATGTTTCTATTTTGTTTATGCTCGGAGTAAAGTTTTAATGTCCTAGACATTTTGCTTGAAGCGTATTTAATGAAGTCGAGCCGTGTTGTTAAATATTGTGCAACTTATCAGAAATAAAAATCATCATTCTGTGGAAGTATTTTTCTTTTTTTAGCAACAATTCACATTTACTAACCAATGAAGTGATGTTCTAAGCAGGGTTTCAACAGAAAACTGCAGCTGGTGAATCTTGATGGGGATTTTACATGAACTCACTGCCTTTTGATTAAAGTTCTCCAAAATTTAGAGAAAACTTGAGAAAGATTTGCTTGCTGCTCCCTGCCTATTCATTACTTTTTGCTGCTTACTCAAGCTGGTATTGAACCCCCAAATAAGATACTAACCATCTTTACAATTTATCTATATTGCTTTCCCATTCAGTGACTTAATTTGATACCATTTCAGGGATTATTCCCTTGCCTCTCATTGGCATGGGATGCCCTTTGGTAGCTGGAGTGAGTACTTTGCTAGTAACCTTGGGAGGGAAGGGGTAAAGAGTTAGAAGAACTCCAGAAGTTATTCAAGAAGTGCCTTTAATAACTAAATGGCAAGATCAATGTTTCAATTTTATTCCATGATAAATTATTTATAGGCTTAAAGAAAAGGAGTTGACAGAATTGTTTTTGTTTGAGTGAAATATATGAGCCAGAAAAGTTATTCTTACATGGCCAGCTGACGAATTTAATTGTAAAAACCAGAGCTAGTTAAATCAATTGTGACTTGTACAATTTTGTCAAAATAGCACAAATAATGGATGACGCTGACTGCATTTGTACACTTTACGAGKGATAAAATTAATTCCTGAATGATCATGACCTGTTTTATAACCTCTATTCCACCGTAACAATACCATATTAAACTACAATAAGGTAAATATTATCCCAGATATTAGAACCATGTCTTTCTTTGTTTTATTTGGGTAGCCATCCAGTCTAACCCTTCAAATAATCCTTCTCCTTTAACAGCACACGCAGACTGGACGAACCAAGGTCTATTACGAATGTCATTTAATTTTAATTTCTCTCGGACCTCGGAAGAACTCAAAGCATTAGGCATGTCTTGTTTGTTAGCAATCACAAGCAAGATAACGTTCTGAAGTTCGTCCTCACTCAGAAGTTTCTTTAATTCGAGTTCAGCTTCTCCAATCCTTTCCCTGTCTGCGCTGTCCACGACGAAAATGAGCCCCTGGCAGCCTTGAAAATACACTCTCCACAAGCTCCTTATCTTATCCTGACCTCCTATATCCCATACAGTAAAGCTAATATTCTTGTAAGTGACTGTTTCGACGTTAAAGCCTAGTGTTGGAACAGTAGAGACCACTTCGTCTAACTTGAGTCGATACAAGATGGTGGTCTTGCCCGCATTGTCTAAACCAATCATGAGGATCCTACACTCTTCTTTACCCAGAAGACGACTAAAAATCGACGTGAAGAAGTTCCCCATTTCCTTTAGGGTTGATTCTATACAGCCAACTATCACAAATAACGAGAAAATCCCATCTAAAATACCAGTATTGTTTGTATTTTTGCTGCTTTCGACAACTCATTCRAAACCGACACATCACTATTACTAATTTGCATTTCGTGAGCGTAACAAAATCAAGCACATAGATATCGCGGGCTCGTAAACAAGATGGCCGACGTTCGGTGGATAAAACTTTTCGCTGGTCAAAATCGCATTTTATTTCTAAGTAGTCGAAGAATATGTGGATGTAAAAATGGTCGTATGAGAAGATTTGGTTTTAAAGTTAGGCAGTTTTATCAAGGTAATATATATTTCCCATTACTCGTACAATCTGTACTATGAGCTAGTTGGGTCACAGGTAGCCCAAGCTTGGTTTCTTTGGTGTTATAAGGAAATGTATGGGGATTCTTCAAAAATTTCAATAAAACCATTGAAACGTGAATTAAATTCTCGAAATTTTACCCGATCATTGAGAAATAATACTTCTTTCGCTCTGTGTGGTTATTTTTTGAATTTAGCCCGTTTTAAGATTTCTTTCCCCACCAGTAAGAAATAAAAATAAAAAGCAACTATTGTCAAAGACAAATAAATGTATATTTACATGTATACTCACTCTTATTCATGAAATGGTATTTCTTTTCTTAATTTTATTTTTTGAGTCACATTTTTATATTGTAAAGCGTCTTTGCATGAACTTACGGATATCTATGCTATATAAATTATTCCTTATTATTATTATTATTATTTGATTCGATTGTTGATTATGATTTGTTAAAATTTTATCAAAGACACCAGATATTAATTAATACCATACTTAGTAATGTTTTCGCATTAATTCAGGGAATCCTCAATTGTCCAGTAGATTACCAGTCATCCATCATGATGAATATAGCTGTCCATGGCCGACAAACCATAGGTTCAAGATGGCTAAGTTTACAAAACTGATGGAACACCTGATCAAAGATAATGTGGTTGTGCCACAACAGGTTCTTTACCCGACCAAGGCTTCTTATGATGATTTGATAACCACACATACACCTAACTATGTCAAGAGTTTTATCACAGGGTCCATAACACCAGATGATTTGAAACAAACTGGGTTTAAGTGGTCGGAAGGATTAGCAAACAGGTGTCAGATGGAAGTAGGTATGAAAATGATAAAGAATATTTGAAACATGCAAGTTAGTAGTCTCCCCCACAGCCGCTTTCAGTGTCGTCACGCAACGCTCATGGGAGAAAGCGTTGCGTGACGACACTGAAAGCGGCTGTGGGGGAGACTAACAGCCTCTTTTCAAAATGAATTACTTACTTTCAAGATTACAATATTCATTGACATCCAAGTTAAAACGATATTTGGTGATTTATTTCCAACCCAAATTACTGGGTGACCCATTTAGTTCAAATTAAATATTGTCATTAACTGATTAAAACAAGTGTAAAAGACTAAGAATATAATTTTTCTGTAAACTTTGATTTGTTATAGGTGGTACCATTCTTGCTGCTAAGATTGCATTGCATTATGGTTTAGCATGTACTACAGGTGGCGGCACACATCATGCATATCCTGCGCATGGTTCAGGGTTCTGTATATTCAATGATTTGGCAATAGCATCCTTTCACCTCCTGGACAACAATCTTGTATCCAAGGTCATGATTGTTGATCTGGATGTTCATCAGGTATGCCGCCTGCATTTTCAAATCATTTACTTTGTAACAGTATTAAATTTAGGGAAGGTATGTTATTTTATTGGGGAGGGGGGTTCTGAAGGAAGGGGTCTTCAGTAAAAATTTGAATTTTTTGAGGAGGCTAAAACCTTTTTATTTTGACAAAAGCTGTTTCCTTGTTGACTTAATTGGAGTTTCATGTTTGTTGTCGAGTTACACACAGATGTCAAAGAGAGTGTTGTCTTAGCAAATGTGTCTGAGTGCGTAACTCGAATCGTGTAAGTTGAAGTGCGTAACTTGAATTTTTCCCATCCTCAACTCAAACAAAGAATTTTATTCTCAAGAGAATACATTATTTTAAATGGGAAAACATTACTCCCAGGCTAAAGAGGTCTATTGGCCCTACCTAATGTCCCGGGGGGGTTACGAACCTATATTCACTATACAGGTACATGTATGGTTTTCAGCGATTCTACTCTGGAACAGGGTATATCAAATCACACTCACTCTGGTACAGGGTATGAGAAAATTATGCTCTCTCCTCTCTGGAAGTACTTAAAAAAATTATTGAAAGCTCGACACAGTCATTAACTAAATCTTATCTGGAACAAATTATACCTTTACGACATTTATTCTGGAACAGGGTATGGTTTTCAGCCATTCTACTCTGGAACAGGGTCAGGGTTCAGAGGGCTCAGCGGCACATCCCTACCCTAAACGGGCAAGAGTACCCCCTTCCCCGGGCCTAATGTTTGGGTATTAATTGAATATATACTCATCCAATACTGTTCCCATGTTGAATATTTACTCATCCAATACTGTTCCCATATTGAATATTTACTGATCCAATACTGTTCCCATGAATCTTCTTATTATAGGGAGATGGAACTGCATTTATATTCCAAAACAACCAAGATGTTTTTACTTTCTCTGTGCACTGTGAGAAAAATTTTCCAGTGCGCAAACAGAGTAGTGATTTAGATGTAGGTCTGCCATTTGGGATGGAGGACAAAGAGTATATCGATACAGTTAGAACACATCTTGCATGGTTATTGGATAGTTACAGGCCAGATATAGTGTTGTATGATGCAGGAGTAGACCCACATAAAGATGACGTTTTAGGAAGACTTAATCTTTCTGATCAAGGTAAAAAGAAATTTTTTTGTTAACTAATTTTTTTAAGATAAATTTTATTTCTCTCTCACTTATGATGGTAATATGCTTTCACTAGGGCTGTTTGACAGAGATAAAGAAGTATTACAAATGTCCTTATGTCGAGGGATTCCATGTGTAACAGTAATAGGTGGAGGTTATGACGATAACATTGATGTACTGGCTGCACGTCACTCAATTGTCTTTAGAGCAGCGACAAAGGTTGGTTGACATCCCTAACACTCCTTTCTCCCCTCTCTACAGCGAGTATGGATAATATTTTTAAGCCAAATATTTCTTGTTCTGTTTCAATTCATATGGAAAATCCTCAACTTTGTCATGTTTTTTTTTCCAGGTTTGGTCTGAAAATGTTACTTGATGATATATGTAAGTGGTACAAAATGTATAATTATCGTAATTGTAAATAAAGGAATTTGATAAATAACGTTTTAACTGATATTCTCATATTAGTACTAATTTAGAAACAGTATTTGTGTAATAAATGCACTACATTTTTTGTACAAAAGACATTGAGGTGGGTGACAACTGATATTTTTAACTTTAGTGTTGTTTTCCATTTCCAATGCATTATTTTCACCTTAGCAAAGCATCATAAATTAACTTCCCATAAGTGAAGTATATGGTCATAAAATGAACAAGTCGCAACTAAGGATGAAGTACTTGTTGAGTCTGTAGATTCATTTTCTATTTTCTCATCTGAGTTCATTTCAGTTTCAGTTTTCTGAATCTTACTGCTAGTACCAGTGTACCAGTCTGCACCATATGCTAATTCATAGTTTTCCTTATAAGATATAAGAACTTCAAGCCCATGAGAATCTGAAAGAAAGTAAAGAATGAATGAATGAATGAATG